GGTCAGGTGATTTATGGATCGAAGTAACCTCTGGAGTTTAAAAATAACAAGAGCAACCCTCGCCTGGGATGGAATACCTCTGCACTGCACCGATACTGTAAAACCACTTTAAAGACATTTCATCCACTCCACAGGAAAGTGTGAGTTAGAAAAATCTGATGAGTTATGTGATGGAGAGAGTGATATATTATAAAAAGACCCCCTTTCCCCTTATATATGGATAAAATGCTGAAATGGAGCCGGTGTAATGCAGGGAGCTCGTCGCCTCCTCTGGTTGCTGACAACACAGGGAGTTTAATGAGTGGTCGTTAATGGAAATATTATTGGAGCAGTGTTAACAGCCTCTTTCCTCGCCACTCAGGTCAAAACCATTTCCTTCTGACTTCTTTGTACACGACGTTTAGATGGAACATCACTCTCTCCCTGCAAGAGCCTCCGACGACGACGACGGCGACGACCTCCGCCAGCGCCGCACCCCGGCACCTGCAGGACACAGGAGAGCACCAGTAACTCAGGCCGTGGCAGCAGATCCCAGCTCAGGCCTTTCCGGGCGAAGGCCTGCCTACACGTCGAGGATTTACTCTGATGACAGAATCCGCCACTTCCTCCGTGGGCCTCACGTTTAATGGAGTGCAAAGTTCCCTTTAATATTTCTGCAGGTGTCAGGGACAGGGATACTGTAGCACAGAGGTCTTCTTCTAATGGAAGGCCTCGTAAAATGTTCCATAAAAAGCCCCTTGTTAAGAGAACGGGTGATAAAAAATATGCAGCAGAGTGAAATTATAAGAATTTCCCTTCATGAGGATGGTGTAATACAGAGGAACAACTATTTATACACTCAGCTGTTCATCATCTCCTCTGGAAAAGCCTGTTTTTCTTGCTGAAACCGTGAAAACTGAAAACCCTTTGTATAAATATTAGTGAAACAGCGTGTGGGGCAGATAACCCTCTCATCACTCCACAGGACAAGACACTTTGTCTTCATTTGCCCCCAAAACTTTGTGCACCCTTTGATTCTGCAGACCGCAAATTCAACTCGATAATAAGGGAACGCAGACAGATTGCCGTTATCCTGCAGACACTCATCCCTGCAGCTCACACACACACACGAGGCATTCACTGTGGTGGGTGTTGTTGTGTTTAAAAGGCACCGAGAAACAATCTAGCGCCGTTTCCCTGACCACATACAGCTGTCATCGTCTCCACTCACAAGGCCTAGATGAGCAGGAAAACACTAATCATGTCATCACTGCTCTGCATAAGAGCGAGAGCCCCATTTAGCGAGATAGCAGCTTGTAATTACGTCGTCCTCCGGGGCTGTGGCGTTATGGTGGGCCTGACCAACGCCAAGAAAAGCAGCGGAGGAGCTGATTAACTTGGACTTGCCTCGTACATTCTTGTGCAATGCCTTACAGCACCAAGCCACTGGAGCGCCCAAAACAATCGTCACTAATGGTGTTCATTAATGACAAGTTAATGCTCTTTAAATACCTCGCGGACCACCACACACACACACACACACAGATGGAAACACAGTATTGCACATGTTGTTTGCTTACATATGCTAACACACAAATAAAGACACACACAGAGTCCTCTCAGCCGCTGCTCGGTCCTGACGTTTAAAGAAAAACATAAATACTAACCTCAGCGTGCTCACAGTAGAGTCAGTTGGTAATAAGGTATCCCGAGGTATTTAAACATAGAACCGCTGCCCGTTTAATTACCATCATGAAGAAATACTGCTGTGCAAAGTGCTCAATAAGTGCAAGATAAACGCTTAAGCACCACTGTCTGTTAATAGATGTTGTTAATGTTTCCTATTCCACTTCTGATTCTCAGAGAATAAAACTGAAACATGGAACACATTTCTGTCACTGTGTGAAAGTAATAGTGTAATATGAGTCCCAGCATACGGATGCAGTCCAAAACACAAAAACTGTGGTACTTTCATGCAAAGTACGTTCAGTTATCTGCTCAAAAACACAAATTCACAGATGCAGCTCCAGCACAAATGTGACCGTGAATGGGAGCCGTCACCCTTCCACACTCGGAATACCTTCAGTGTGCGTTACATCTCATTTATTCATTTTTAAAAGATATATGTTGCGTTTCTAAATATCACATGCACTGAATGAGTTACTGCACAGAGTGGTTCAACTTAAAAAAAACACGTGTAAATTTGACAAATAGAATATTTAGAGAGTAGGAGTATGAAGCACGTAATAATAACAAAACCATCTCTGAGAACACGCAGCGCAGATGCAATCACAGTTATGGATCACAGTGTTTTACATGCATTGACTTTACTGCATAAACATCTCTGGGTTTCGTCAGCGTTGGGCTGCAGGCGAACGTTCATCCGAGAGCTGAGCTCGGCCGATGAGGTGAAATGAGGAAGAGCTCATTTTGTGGTTTTGCGAAAACACAGCCGTGTGCTTCTACTACATCATGTGAAATTCTCTGTAAACAGAAGTGATCCGAGCGCATACCAGAGTTTTCAACACGTACGGTATCTGTTTTATGTCCTGCCACAGCAACACCAAATACCTTGATCCAACAGGACGGCAAAAAACTAAAGACTAGCGTTTGAAAAGACAAAATTTGATTAGTCAGGGAGGCATTTATGAGATCAACAAATGGTTAAGCCAACGGATACCTATGTAATCCTTCACCTTGGATCCTGCAGGGAAGCGATGGTGTCAGAAGTTTATCCAATTAGCCGTGTGCTAAGACTGGCTGGGCCAATCAGACGCATCTAAAAGGGCACGGCCGCACGATCACAGATCAGAAGAGCCAAAGAGAAAAGTGAAAAACCCCAAACACGGCGATAATGGAGTGTCCTGTTTTTCCACCGACTAATGTTCAATTACCAGGCTGTTTCTTAAATTGGTTCTGCAAACTATTATCAGTGACAGGAAAGCTTAGCTGATTCAAGCTTGACTAATATTGTTAGGAGACCACACATCGTGTTCTCAAGCCCTCACAGATACAATCAAGAAGGTAGATCAGAGTTTAATGTTTACTCTTTTAATCAAAATTACAAAAACTGTTGTTCGATAACATATTTTAGAGACAGGTTTTTATAAAAGCTCTATTTCCTTCACAACACTGTAAACGCAGAGAGAGAGGAATCAAGCACACTGTCATACTTTCACTCAGTTTTATAATAAAGCTGGACGAGAGTCAGCGGTCAATAAAATGTCCCGCATTTCCAAACAAACCGCTGTGTTGACTGACTGTGACGTGCTGGCAGCGCAAATTACAACAATTTGCCTGGAGTCATTCATAATTAGAGGAGCAGCTGCGCCAAAGCCTACAACAGAATGACGCCGGGCCACCACTGCGGTTTTCTACACTGACTGAACTCCCAGTAACATTTCCACAGGATGTTTGTGATTCTCTGCCCCCATCCTCTGATAAACACTGCCCTCTGCAGGGGGAAGAGGAGTGGGTGTACGGGTGGGAACAATAAGTCTGCTTTTGGATTGATGTGCATAAAGAGCGACTGTTTTGTGGTCATGCTTCAAACTCACAGATTAACGTTATATACGAGGAGCTCTGAAGGCATTTTGTGCTTTTCCTGTTCGGCGTAATTCACCCTGCACCCCGGAGGTCGGCCGCAGAGCGTAACTGAAGACTCTTTGAGCAGAGGTGCCACAGGTCATTTATGTCCAAAGAGAATTATGACTATTTTTTCCTCATTTGTCATCATGGGTACACAGTGGTGAATGGGTCTCCACCCACACAGCCGGGTGGTCCACCGAGCTGAATGTGACCCCAATAAAGACCTTTGAGACGAGCCGCTCTGAGCAGCGCCTGCCCGAGCATGAACCTCACTTTGTCATCATGTCAGGGGGCATTGATTCAAGACACATTATGCAAAACACAAAAGGGACAAATGGGACGTCTGTTTGCTATTGAAATGTGCCGCAAAGACGTCAGCTCACTTTCATCATATCAAATATAAAATGTCACATTTCATCATCATTACAATGTTTTCATCTGGGTTTGTTTGGTGTTTGGCAGGATTACGCAAAAACTACAGGACGGGACTTTTTTTTTTACCGGGACTTTTGGCGGAAGGATGCAGCTTCATCTGAACTGGATCTCACCCTTTCATGTTGTCAGCCTCTTGCCAATGTGTGGAGTCTCGTCCGCCGGTTTGAAGACGGGAATCCAACAACACCATCCTGCAAATAAAATAAAACACCACGTTTATCATATTGTTGAGATAAAACGTTGTTGAAGGAGGAAAAAGGCAGGATGGAGTGAGAGTGAAATCATAAGACTTGTGTGAACTCCTGATGATTTTGATGTCAAATAAAAGAAAGATGGTTAAAACTGATTTAAAGTAAACAGGTAAATAAGGAAATAGAGAAGATATTTATCCATTGAATAAATTATATCTTAAAAAATTGATTTTTTCAAATGAACACAGCAAACAGAAGCTGAAAATTAAAGAATCAGAGTGAGTTTCCTTGTCCGAAAGATTAAAAACCCTGTAAATCCATTTTCCACCACAAGTACCCAAAACTGCAGCAGATTACGTACACGGGTACATTTACACCATTCACTGCAGTACTTCACATCACAACAGTACATCTTCCATATGTTATTGTGTACAACGTGTGTACTCACTTCCCTCTGTGTGTTTCTGAGGCTGTGGACGAGGCCTTCACTTCGTTACCTGCACAGGTGATGCTAACTTTGTGACCCCGCCCACATGGCAACAACAGCCGCCAAAACACTTCCCGGGGTTTTCCTTTTCAACGTAAGAGTCGCGGATTTAGAGTTTACAACCTCGCGCAAAACGTATAAAGTTAATTTCTTCTCCTGACACCGCACGTCACCACTTCCTGCTTAAGAAAAGGAGGAGGAGAAGAAGGAGAAGAAGAAGAAAAAGGAGAAGAAGAAGGGGAAGAAGGAGAAGAAGAAGGGGAAGAAGAAGAAGCAGAAGAAGAAGAAGAAGAAAAAGGAGAAGAAGAAGAAGAAGAAGACTGGGCAGGTGCTGATGACGTCATCACGCTTGAAGAAAGAACAGACGAGAGACGCCGAAAGGTTAGAACACACACACACTCTCTCTCTCTCACACACACACACACACACACACACACACACACACACACACACACACACTAACTAACCTTAACCATCACAACAAAATGTCTAAAACCTAATTTAACCCTAAAAGCAGGTCTTAACCCTCAACAGCCCCTTAAATGTGTGAGGACCGGCCTATATGTCCTTATAACGTCAAACTGTCCTCACGATGTCTCTCACAATGTCGGTTCTGATCCAAATTCACAACTGTAGTAGTGGACACTGGACACACACCCTCAGGTCCTCAGAAGTGAGGTTGCGTCTCATATGACCAGTCTTTGGTCCTCATGATGTCTACTGGTCCTGCCACTCATCGACATAATGCAGTCCCTGGCCCAGCCCCCCCCCCAACCCTGTATTTATGTCTTTATATTGCTTTTCTAGTCTTGATGAGAATCAGTTTATTCAGACAGAGGTCATGTAAGAAAGATGAACATGAAGGATGTAACACAGTTTTCAAGGACAATGCTCTGTATTATCATTTCAAAATATTCACACTTCCACTCACAAACCTAAGTATCTCTCTATATCCTGATTGGTTTTATAGTAAAGCCAAGAATTACAAGAATGCCTCTGTTGTTTTTTTTGGGAGAAACCAAGAGAGGTCGTTCCAGGAAAAACAGCCTTAAAATTGGATCCATTCTTGCATTTTTATTTAAAATATTGAGGTCAAACATGACATCACTTGTCCCTGTGAAATCAGTAGATCTACAGACTGTAGTAGTTTGCATTTTGCGGTCCCAGGTGCACGATTAAAGAACCAGATGGTTGTGGGTGTCCTGACTCAGCAGAATCTTCCCCTTCACCTGCACAGACCACAGAGACGTGTTCTCATAAAACAGAGAAGTGTGTGTCTGTACTGACACTGTGAGTGGTGGCTTGTTACCCTGAGCAGAGCTTGTGTGTGCGTACATACAAAAAAGACTCACGCATGGATGGATTTTCACCAAACTTGGAGGGAATATTACTTTTGCTTCTGTGCTAGAGGTCAATAAAAATATATTGGGGTGTTCACAGCTGATGATTTTCTCTCTGGCGTCTGCTGCCAGGTGAAATAGTTGCATGTTACATTCACATTCCACCAGTAGAGGGAAGCAAAACAACGCATTTGTTGCAGCCTGTGGCCTAAAGTCCTTTTCAAATGTGTTCACCCACTGCATACTGGGATTGACAGCTTTTGCCACAACCTGAGAAAGCGAGAGAAAAATGAGGAAGGGAATTTTAGCAAAAATAAAAATGTTGTATTCATGATTAGCCTGCGGGCCCATGAGGGATAAATAAAATCCATTTCTGCTTTCGTGCTAAATGTGAGCAGTTTTGGTTCCTTGCTGCACGCGTGTCTAGTTTCCTGGTATCACTTCAGAAAATAGAGCTGGTTGTGGATGAAATGGGCCACGGCATGAACAGAAATAGCTCCTCGGCCTCTGTGTCGGTTACCTGATGTGTGCTGTTAAGCCGACGGCCGTCTATTCTCCGTCCAGGTGCGTGTGCGTTTGCTCGTGTGTGGGAGATCCTGTCCAGGACTCGCAAGCTCCCAGAATCCATGAGAAAGCATAAGGCCTCTGCCAACTGCATTAAGATTAAAGGCAATGACAAGGAATGTGTTATTGCCAGCTCAGATGGGGCCTGCATAATCTGGGACCCGGTGGAAGCCAGAACTCGCCCACTCAACCCCTTCTGTTTCTTTTCTGCTGAAGCTAATTCACATCACAGGAACGGTTACATCACTTCAGCTGCGTGGAAGGAGGTCGTCTCGTTAAACCTCGACGAAGTTGTGTAGAACATCGACTTCAGACAGAGCTGTTGAAACACATGGAGCAGTATTGATTTCCTCCTGGGGGTGTCTGTGGGCATTCTGCGAGGAGTCAGGTGGTCGAACACACATCAGCACTGTGTGTAACTCCTCTAGGATGAAAAGACACAGAGGTGATCAAAGCATCCGACAAACTAAACTTTTGTTCTTGTTAAGCGGCACAGCCGACAAAACTTGTGCAATTTTCTGTCAGCATGCAGCCATTGCAGGGCAGTGTGGTAGTGATAGTACATTGTTCCTTCAACTAAGGGACAGTTTGTTCCTGCAGCAGACGGCATACATGACTCAGGCGACCAGATGGTCTCTGTTGCCCACTTTATCTTTGGGGATGACATTTCCTTCTTTGCAGAGGAGAAGCAAAAACCTCTCCATTTATAGGCATAACGTTACGTAACTATTAGGTGAAGGTGCAGCAGCGCTGATTTAATTATCTGTGCTCCGCAAGAGAAATGCTCTTGGGTTTGTATTATCATAACTTCATGTCAACGTTCAAAGGCTTGTTTGTAATCAAATCAAATCTAGGACAGATTTCCATGAAAATATGTTAATCGTATGTTTTTTATGATCTACCTCCGTTTGCATTCATTCATTGTTTATAGCGCTTATCCTTTTAGGGTAGCTAGAGTCAATCCCAGCTGATATTGGGCGAGAGGCGGCGTACACCCAGGTCGCCAGCATATTACTGACATCCAGAGACATACAACCATTCACATTCACACCAGGGGAGCGATTTACAATCAACCCACGCAGAAAGGGGCTTCAAACCCACAACCTCATTGCTGTGAGGCAACAGTGCAAACCACTGCACAACTGTACAACCAAAAGACGTCACGCGACGCAAAAATAGATTTCAGTCTTGGCCATGAGAGAAATCATCTCTGCAGTAGAAGCATTAAAAGGCACCTGCCTTGTGAGAGGGAAATGCAGAATTGCTCTAAAAATAACATCAAATGACTCTTGAAAGAGGCCGACATCACAAGAAGGAAACAAACTCAGGGGTGATTTTTGCTTTTCAACAAAGAGCCCAGATCTGTATCAGAGATGGCAGCAGCACAGAGGTGCCGGCGGGTCATTATTGCATTAGTTTGAAAAGTTGCATGTCTCATTTGTGCTGGTCTTTTAGAGGAGGATAATGAAAACAGTTTTTGTGAATGTCGTCATCTTTCGTTTGCCGTCAGTGATTGTTAAAAGAAAAAATACCTCAAGGCTAAAGTGGTTTGTTGAGACTGGAACGTCAGTAAGAGTGGGGGTTTGGAGAAGACAACTCAACAAATGTCATTAAAAGAAGTTCAACGACTCATATGTCATTTGTCCGTATGACGACTGTCTCTGCTGCAGCCTGATCGTTGAGTAGATTGATCTCACCTGGTCTGGAGGGATCCTGAAGTCTCCTAAAGTTGTAACAGCTGGTTGAAGCATTTGCTGGTATTAACTACAAGACATGTTTCAGCTCGTTGCATTTTCTTAAGCCCCTAAAAACATAAAAGCCAGCGTTTCTTTTTCACATCAAATAGCTGTGATTAAATAAACAACATCAGTTAAATCTTGGGGGAAAACCCAGACCGTTATCTTAAGATTTGACTGGATTTAAGACTCGAAACCTCTGCGTCATCAGGACCGTGTGGGTGTGTTGACTGATAGTGACCAGGAAACACGAGCAGTAAATCCTCGCCACATTTTCAGTCAAAATGAGCTGAATCCTGATTGGAGCACCGTCATTATGTTTTTATTCCACCTCCTGTGAGATCCCATCACTTGTGCTGAGAAGGTTTTTCAGGGCCTTTAATTACAGTTTACCTCTTCACTGGAACAGGTGTCATGTTTGGTGTGTGGTGTGTAAGAGAGGAGATTACTGTTTGCCTCCTCTTCTCGGAGACAGGTGATGTTGGGAAAGGTTTTAGGGTGTTGGTTGTATCGAGGCCTTCCAACTCATACTCTCTACTCACCTGCTTATCCTATTTGAGGGTCACAGGAGGAGCTGGAACCAATCCCAGCTGACATTGGGGCGAGAGGTGGGCTACACCTTGGACGGTTCGCCAAGAGCCAACATACAAAGACCAATTCAGGCACCTATGGTCAATTTAGAGTTTCTAATTAACTCAAGGCCTGAGTATGGTTTCTCTTAGGTCTTGAGCCTCATGGTGGGATTATTGCTTCCCAACAACAGGTACTCCCTACCTCAACGAGCACCATCACTCTGGAGGAGGAGGAGGCGGTGTAGGAGGCTCACAAAGACTTGGCTCACTCTTCAGCTTGCATTAGAAGTGAGGAGGAGACTTTTTGCTCACTGCTGCATGAAATCTGCAGTTTTTCGCGTCGGTGAGACAGCCCAGTGTGATCAAACATATCTATGTGGTGAGCACAGAAGATAAGCCGTGCCTCTCCCCTGTACTTCATGGCTCAGGAATGACGGTAATAATCCAGGAAACCGTAACAAATACCTCCTCAGGCTTAGCTAATGACTTTTCTCTGCAGGACGCTGGGTCACTCTCACAGATCGTCCTGTTTCATTCTGAATCTGCAGCAGTTGGTTCATTAAACAGTATTTTATTCACTGGGAGAAGTAAAGTGGCCGAAAACAGGCGGGAGTGTGTCAGCGTGAAGCTCGCTGATACTGAAACGTCAAACCCAGGTAGCTGATGTCATTTTCACTGAAAGATTCATAGACGGTGTAACACAGTTCAACATTTGCTCACGGCAGCACAAAGATAATGTCATTTTCTCCATGAGAGTTTGCGAGAGCTTTATTACGACTCATGAGTTTTCTCTATTATTAATGTTTTCGCTCTGCATCAAACTTTTAAAAGAATTATAAATGTTGCTGAACTTTTCCATGATACACTTAGTGTTTACATCATTCAACCTTCTGATCTGTGGAGAACAGTGGTGGGATGTAGTTAACCCAATTACTGCAGCACCGTACTGTAGAAATCGAGTTTAACTACGTCCCACCACTGCTTTCCACAGATTAGTAGGTTGGAAATATTCATGTAAACAGGGGCGTTGCAACAGGGTGGGCAAAGCAGGCAATTACCTGGGGCCCCGAGCTGGGAGGGGGGTACCCCCCCCGAGAACGGCTAATTACAACATTTTAAAGGTTTGATTGAAGACGAGAACGTCTAAATGTGTGTGCATGATGAACCTGGGATGATGGGGGAGGTTTGGACTTAAACCTTACTGCTTAACTATTATTTACGTTTGCACAGTTTATACATTTATGTACTTTGGTGTCATGTGTTTCTTTATTACATTACATTTATTTGACAACTCTCAACGAACAGCTTATCGTGCACTTTCTCATTGTGAATTGTGTGATCAGAGTTTGATCTGCCCCGTGGTTGTTAGTTCGATGTTCTACGGACCTGCCGGAACATATACAAGCGTTGCTTTATTCCCGTTCTGTGCAGAATAACCCTGACTCTGCTTCGGGGACGTTATACTGTAAGATTTCCTCTCTGGTATTACGTATTTATTCATTTACACAACCTGCTGCTATATCTGTCCGCATCGCACTTGCACCTTTTTTTATGTTTTTAATGGTCATGTGTCAGGTCGATGGATAAAGTACATACATGTCAGATGCCTGAGCTGTTAACATATTTTCCACATGGTTTAAATCTAGCTATAAAATGAATTTCTACATCATTCTTATCACTCCATGAATCATCTCTTGACCCAGATGAATCTTTGTGATCCTCTACGGGGCCTAACCCTTAGATTGGGAACCACTGCACTGAACTACCTGCGTATATTCACATTAACAACCTTATGTAATTCATATAGGTACCAATTTTAAGCCATTGTAGCACTGCCAGCTGATAAATACTTTCACTCAAATTGGATTATGGATTAGCACTTTTACTCAATGGTAATAGTACTTTGGAGTGTGCACTGGTAAAGCCTGTGTCTGATTCATTTCCAGTGGCAGCATCATGAATCCAGCGTGCACAGCTCTGATCTCCTCCATGTGCGGGGGGAGTGGGAGGGTTCAGTCTCACAATCACCAGCCTTTTCCAGGAGAACTCGCTGGGAGCGCGCAGTGCTGCAGCTGGACGCCGGAGCGGCTCGCGTCGTCGCCGGGCACGACGGGATGCTGCGTCCGGGGGCTGATGATAATGATGATGATTCAGTAAGTCGCTGGGATGGACGAGGAAGATTTGCGGTCAGCGCTCGGTGGAATAACAGGGAGCTGTTGTGCGTCCTGGCTCCGCGATGCCGTCACCTCTGCGCGCTTTTCCCTCTGCGACCCACCGGACAGAGGACACTGGCGGGGAAGTGACACACCGGCGTCGGAATCTGCACAAGAATCAGCCTCAGAATAAACCGGAGAGGGAGTAGAGGAGCTGTCATGGAGAGACACGGCAGCAGAGCCAGGGAGGAGACGTCGACGTCGAAGGAGGAGAAGCGCAGGGAGAAGAAGCCGAAGTCTGGGAAGCTTTTCCGAAAGAAACCGTTGAAGTCTGTGGGAAGTTTGATGAACAGGATCCTGAAAACTTTGGGCACTTTCGCCCACTTTGGAGACGCGGACGCGCAGGACGCAGAGGACGATGACGGGGGTTTTGGGAATGGCGCACCGTGCACCCTCAGCGCCAGCTCAGGGATCACCAGGGAGGATGGACAGGTGAGCAGCTGGGACACACGAGCGGCGAAGAACACCTCCAGCACCTCCTCCTCTCTGTGCACCGGCAGGGAGAAGCTGCTCTGCCAATACGGAGACAAAGTCCCCGGCGTCCTGGGGCTGAAGAACCACGGGAACACCTGCTTCATGAACGCGGTGGTCCAGTGTCTGAGCAACACCGACCTGCTGGCGGAGTACCTGGGGCTGGAGCGGTACAAGCTGGACCTGAGCCTCACCAGGGTGAACGGCCTGGTGAGGAGTGAGGAGACGCGGCTGGCCCGGGGAGAAGTCACGGAGCAGCTGGCTTCACTCGTCAGGGCCCTGTGGACTCTGGAGTACACGCCACAGCTGTCCGTGGACTTCAAGGTACACGCAGCTCAACACAAGCACAGGTGCCCCATGAGCTCTGTGGTGACAACACCTCGGGTTTAGTGTTTATGAGCTGTAAACTAAATGAAATGACATGAAATATTGGTTTTACGATCACATTTACTGCCAAATTTCTCTAATAGAGCCACATTTATGCGTTGAACTCGGCTCCTGACGTCAACGAGAGTTTCAAACTGTCCTGGACCATGCAGGTGTTTACGTAGAGTCAACTGTTTGCTCTACATCCGTGCATCATTTATACAGCTTAGGGTTGCGAGCGGTTATCTGGTGCCAGTCCTGGGTCACGTTGGGCGAGAGGTGAGGTGCACCCTGGGCAGGTCGTTCAGTGCATCACAAGGCCAACAAAAACCTTATTCAGACATGACCCGCGGAGGATTTCTGGAGAATTGGATCCAGACTCTCTCGGCAGTTTGCCCCCGGCTTTGGCCGTTATCAACAAAAGCTGTCTCGACATCTTCAGAGGCATCTTGTGCAGATATGTCTTCAGAAGACATTTGTTTTTTGGTGAAGACTTTTAACCAGGGGGACTGGTCGGAGAAACTTCTAATCAAAGGTGGAATCTGGCAAGCTTCGCTCATTTTCAAATCTGTCGAGTCTAAACCACTACATCATCTACCAGTCAGGGACGTCCCCCAACCCCTACCACCCCTCGTCTGTCTCTCTCTCTCTCTCACACACACACACACTGTTTGAGATGGCCGCCTGTACCAGTGGTTTGAACTGCTCGGCACAACCACGCTCCGCAGACAGTTAAGCCCGGCCTGTCTCGTTTCTTGTCGTGCTGGTAGTGCAAACGTTGTCGGGACGACGATGGT